TGGAGAGTGGCAGAGGAGAAGAAAGACGGTAAGGAAACTAAGGCAGAGACTCTGGATCTGGGGTTTAAAGGGCAGGGTTGTCCCAAAGTGGTCCGATTAGTGGGTGAGGGTGAACCGTATACAGTTCTGGTCTGTACTGATCAAGGAGAGGTGTGCCTTAGTCAGGGTGACACCTGGGATGTCATTTGGCAAGGGGGAGCAGAATTCCAGTCCTATTGTGTAATGGAGATCACAAGCATCCAAGTCCAGAATTCAGATTGCATTGTGTGGGTGTGTGCAGTGGGTAATCTGAAAGGAGGTGTCCAGGTGTTTCTTGTAGGGCAGCCAGGTGTGGGAGTCTTGCTAAGAGCTGGTGAGGGTAAAGTTCACTCTGTACTTTGGGTCAAGGGACTGTTTGAAGGGTCCTGGAGTTGGTGTCTTCTTGCATCGGACTCTGAGGGACTGGTTTATCGATGGACAATAAAAGTGATAGAGGATGAATCGGGCCTGCATATGAAAGAGGAAACTCTTCTTCCATTCCTGCTGCCACCCTGTGCCAAACGCTGGCTGACTGCTGCAGTTACCTTGTCCCAGAGAAAGGGGTTGTACCTGTGTGGTGACCGGAGAGGGTCACTACTGCTCTACACTGAAAGAGGAGAGAATGACAGAAGAAATGATGGTGGAGAAAGAAGAACGGACTTACAAGATCAAGAAACTGAAAACAAGCAAACAGACCATGGTGGTCCTCTGTCTTCCATCAGTACCCTTTATGGAGTCCATGGAAAGCAAGGTGTGACTTCTGTGTGTGAATATCAAGACTTATGTTACAGTACAGGTCGAGATGGATCTGTAAGAATACTAACTGTTGAAGAAAATATTCTGAAGGTGCGTAGAGTTCAACGGGCCTGCAAAGGCATGGAGTGGATAGAGAAAGTTCTGTTTCTGGGCTTGGATGGACTAGAGGTACAGGGAAAGTTGCTGAATGAGAGAACTGAGAAGAGGAAGATCGATCAAGAGAGTGCAATCATAGCCGAAACTCGGTTTGTAATGGTTGGCTTCCACTCGGTCCACTTGGTTATATGGGACCCTCACAGACAAGAGAAGCTTTTATCAGTTGCCTGTGGAGGCGGCCATCGATCCTGGGCCTACAAACACCCAATAAACATGGACACAGATCCTCAAGCACATACACTTGGACAAGGTACCCTTCTGTTTATCAAGCATGGTGCTGTCATGGCATCACGTTCATTAGCATCAACAGAAACCGATGTGAATGCACACACCCTGAAAGAGGGGCTACATGGACGAGGCATCAGCTGTGTTTGCCACCTTGGTAGTCTGACGAAGACTGGACAGTTGTCAGAACTTTGGGAAGTTTTTGTTACCGGAGGGGAGGATACCACAGTAGGTGTACTTGCCATCAGACCACAGAGTGGAACTGTTAAGGTGCTTTCAGTTCTAACGGACCATATCTCAAATGTTCGTGCTCTGGCTGCAATCAGAAGAGGAGAAACTAATGAAAAAGGGAGAGATGACGTGACAGATACCTCCTCTCTCTCTTCTTTGGTGTTCTCTGTGGGTGGCCGGGCCCAGCTGCAGTGTTACCGGCTCCTGATGCATTTGGATGAGCAGCAGAGTCAGCCAATCTGTCAGGTCACTCAGATAGCTGGCCATCGATTGGATGAACAGTGGGAACGGAAGCGGAACCGACACAAGACTGTCAAAATGGACCCAGAGACAAGGTGCATGTGTGTTTGTGAATGTATATGTTAAAATACTCTCTACTTTACAAGTTTGGATCTAGAGATAAGTTTGAAAAGTCATTTTTATTATCTTAAAGGGATCGTTGACCCAAAAAGAAATCTTTCTTCCGTATAACACAGAAGATATTTTGAAAAATGTTTCAGTGTTGTTTTTTTTCTTGACTATACAATGAAAGTCAATTGGGTCCAATGTTGTTTGATGGTTGGTTGCAGCTGTTTTGAACATTTCTAACCACCAGAGGGCGGACAATACAATGTACCCCCTCCCCATTGTAATTGTAATTTTCTTACAGAGAGATTACATTATGATTTTATTGTGCAAATGCTTTCTCGTGTTTGCAGGTACATGTCTATGGCTGTGGTGCAAAATGGGACTGATTGTGTCTTACTGGCTCTGGGCTGTAGTGATGGTGCAGTAAGGTAACTTGGTTTGAGATTATGAACATATGAATTTAAATGAGTTTCATAAAAAATGTTTAATGTTTTTACTTTCTATGATTAATGTATTGAGACTGTGTGTGTTTTGAATTGTAGGCTTTTCTGCGTGACTGAGAGCAGTAGGAGTGTTGACATGCTTTGGGAGTCTTTTTACCATCAGAGGTGTGTGCTCAGCGTCGCCACCTACAAGCTGGAGGACTCCCAGGACAGAAAGTAAGGACATGCTGTACATTTATAAAACACTTATTCCATATTTAAAATTTTCTTAGACTTACTTTCCTTTGTCCTCTTTCTGTCTCAGGCTTTTGTTGCTGTTCAGTGGCACTACAGATGGTTGTATATCTGTGTGGGATTTAACAGCAGTTTTGAACAGTAAGGCTAGTGTCAGCTGGCAGGGTGAGTCATACATACACCAGAACATAAACACTTGTGTGTTTTTTTTTTTTTTAAATAACGTGATGATTTTTTTTTTATGTTTGTATAACTGTGTGTGCTTGTTATGCTTTAGTTAAGAAGAACTTAAATTATTTATGTTTTGTTCGCATTTGTAATATAATATGTTAAAAGGGATTGTTCACTCAGAAATAAAAAATCTGTCTTTATTTATGTTGTTCCCTACCTGTCCCTGAAAATGTGCTTATTATTATTATTTTTATTTAAGAATCTTAAAGACTCAAAAGATGGAGTATGTCTGTTTCCATAAAATTAAAAAATAATTTTAAATTGATTACAAACCCAAGAGCATAAAAAACCGACTGAATCCATGTCAGAACCCGTAGTTTTGGGTGCCATCAGGCTTGAAACTGGTTATAGAACTCTACAATATGTGTATGCTAATAACAGTTTACCCTGTCTGTGCTTCAGGTCCATCAGCCCCGTTCTTTTCCATACCTGTCCATCAAAGTGGAGTCAATACGCTTGCCTTATCACCTAGGAGAGAGATGAGGCAAATGGAGGAAAATATTATCTCATTGGCCAGTGGTGGAGATGATGGACAGCTGTCTCTACTGCATATTAAGATAGATCAGAAAGGGCAGGAGAATGGAGGCGTGTCTCTACAGCTGCTTTCTCATTGTTCAGTGCCCCTGGCGCACTCTTCCCCTCTCACAGGGTTATGTTTACTAAGCCCCACCCTACTGGTGTCCACCTCACCGGACCAGCGCTTGTGTTTGTGGAGTGTGAACAGTGACGGACTCCGCCCACTGAAGGTGCTATTCTCACACACTGCAGATGCAGCTGGGTTGTGGGCATGGTTTGGACAAGAGGGAGGAGCCTGGGTGCTTGTTTGTGGGCAGGGCTTACAGTTGTTTCAGTTAACGGAAAGAGAGATGGATAAACTGAATGAAACTGTTAACAGGGCAATAAAAGTAGAGGAGTGAAAGAAAGTGATATTTCCACATCATGTTTCGAGGACAAAACACTGACTTTAACTTGTGATTTATAAATTAAGATGCCAAAGATTTTTAATTGTAAAATTGTAAAGATTTTCAAATAAAGATCTTTTCAAATATGTAACATTTTTACTGTGTCAGGTAAAGTACCTTGTGAGGACATTTTTATTTTCAATATGGCCTAACAATGAAAGGCAATACAGCTGTACAAGAACCAATCAAAAGTTTGGACATGCTTGACTGAATTTATGTTTCCCATGATCCTACAGACCGTTTGATATAAAGACTAGTGTTATTGTTTACTAAAACTATTAAAAATCTTTTTTTGTTGTTGAAATAATGTTGAAATAAAATAAAAGTCGATTCAAACTTATATATATATATATATATATATCCACCTTATTTTTCCCATAAGAGGGGTGTCATCCACTTTCAGCTATTCTTAGCTGTACAAAACAACTCGTTTTGTTGCTTGATATTGAAAACTGGTGTTTCTTTCCATATTATTTTGATGTGTTGTCTTAGTTATAAACACTTGTAGCACAAACAATTTGACCATTTATTGCACTTTGTTATTCTTCTTGTTATTTTCCTACCGCGGCTAATGAAGCGGAATTCTCACACATTCACAGAAAACAGCTTACTTCCCCATTGAAAAATAAGGTGGATATATATTATCATTATTATTTTTTTACGAGATGCACCATTCAATTTGTGTTAGTTCATAGTTTTAATGTCTGTACTATTATTCTATCATGTGAAGAATACTAATAGTATAGAATTAGTAGGTTTGTCCAAACTTTTAAATGGTACCAGATATGAATTTGTGGCTGTTTAAAGTATATGCGTGCATGTGTGTGAGTGGCTCATGGCTTGAAAATAGAGTCATGCATGTATAAAGTATCAGGGTTTTCATGGGCTACAGGCCAGCAGGTGTGTGTGTGGGTGAGTGAGAGAGTGAGTGTGTTGGGGGGCTTTGGCTGTTCAACTAAGTATAAATATTTCACCCCCTTCTCCAGTTCCCTTTTGTTCATCATCATAGTGGCTCGATGGCCAATCCCTTTAATCCACAGCTGAACGAATGAAAGCAAGAGAGGAAAGGAAGAGAAAGCATGTGAGGGAGACATAAAAGTCCCATTAAGGATTGCAGAATGTGAAAGAAATTAATATATAAAATAATATATTCTTTTTTACATCTGATTATGTGATGTGAAAAGGAGCCAAAATGTGAAAAGAAGAGGATACAAAATTAATGTGAGTATAAAAAACTTTTCTGCAATATCAAAAGTGTGAATTTGTGTGTTGTGAGGCTGTGTCTTTTTGTTTGAAATGAGTGTTCTGATCTTTAGAAAAAGGATGTCATGATTCAGGGAGAATGAATCTGGAAAGAAGAACCCTAAAATGCCTCAAAAACGAAAGAAAAAGGAGACTGAAAATCACAAGGTATGGCTGTTCCACAAAAATGACCTACAGTAAATTGATTGAATTTACAAGTTAATATACAGTACAATATAAAATATACTGTTTAAAGACTCATAATTATGTGTGTGGTATCACTATACAGGACAATGCAGTGATGTCAAAGGATAGGCTCCCTCTGATTGGTTCATCAAGCAGTAAAACTGCAGGTACTTTTATAGTCTATATGGAATCAATGGTGCATTGTTATATGATAAGGTGTTGTCAGATATCATCTGATTTAACTGGAAATCAGATGTTTTCATAAGTTGGATTTAAGTAGTCATTGCCTGTGAAGTAATGCTAATCAATCCTGATGTGTGCCATATAAACTGTGTGTTTACATTGATCTTTGTTCCTTCTGTCTACACAATGTTACCTGAGCTCATCAATAGACAATAGAAATTTAGGAGGTGCTAAATTAATTAACTGCTATTGTCCAAACATTCTTCTTTCTAATGTGACTTGTTAGGCGAGAGGATAATGGGAACTGAACATGTGTGTGAGATAAAGTTAAAGATTTATGAGATCCTGTTTCCTACAACAAAACCGGTAACTGATTATGTTTATAAAAGCTGCAATTATGAGATATAAAATCATAAATACAAAGTATAGTAAAGATATAGTTATAGTATAGAAATATTTGCAATTATTAGATATAAAGAACTAAAATCACAGTAATAAAATATAAAGTCGTATTTGCAAGAAAGTCACAATTATGAGAAGTAGACCCAATTTAGATATGTAGTGACAATTCCCAAAAAATATTGTTGCAGTTACGAGAATTAAAGTCCCAAAAAAGTCCCAACACAATTCTGATTTTTATATTTTTTAATCTATTCTATTTTTAGCAAGACCCACTCTATCCACTCCCCAGCATCCTCCTCAGGCCGAAACCAGAAAACCCAGCCATCCTCCCATCTCATCTGTGGCCCCTGACAGCATGTCACCCTGGGAAGGCTCCTCACACTCTGAGTCCTCCTTTACCGGTTTCCCCCCTCCACTTTCACCCCTTCCTCTTGCCCACACGAAGCCAATCATAGCACCAGATCCTCCGCACCCACCACCCCCTCCTCAAATCAAAAACACTGAACCTGAGAATGGCCAGGGTAAAACGCAAGCCGCTCCCACCAAGACACCCCCCTAGACCTCCCAGTTTACCCCCTCTGAGACAAGTCACAAATCTTAACTTTTCTCGTAGTTTCACATTTTCATTTTTTGAGCTGCCGGTTCACCAGTCTGCACGGAGCAGAGCGGAGCGCCTCAGAGATCTCACTGTGTTGCTGAATCAGTTTCAATACTGAGGCAAAACATGGTACTGTAAGTTCACATCTAGGGCAGAAATGCATCCTGTGGAAAAACAATGTAAGCACATGAACATCAGATGCTCTATGGCTTCATCTATAGTGTTTTATCTATATGCTTAATTTTATTTTTGTTTTATGGATGGATGGATGGATGGATAGATCATTCAATTATGCTGATTTGGTGCTCAAGCATTTATTATCAGTGTAGAAAACAGTTGTTCTGCTTAATATTTTTGTGCAAACTGTGATAAATTTTTTTTTTTTACAAATTGTACAAATTTTTGTAACTATGTAAAAACATACAGTATATACAGTATAACATACATTTTACATTGTTACAAAAACATTCTATATATAGTGGCCAGTGAAGTAGTGGAAATTCCTCAAGTTGTATTTGTTGTTTTTGTTACTTTTTTTTAAGGCTGTTAAATGTATATTTAGAGTGTGTGTGGGTGTGATATTGTTTTTGCCTCCTGATCTTAAGCTCTGTCGACACTTACAGTATATAAACCAATGGAACACAGAGTTTGAGAGAATAACCATGGTGTTTATTATTTAGGTTGGAGACAGCATTTGTGATGAATTATATATGAGGTAACATTATAAATTTGACCTTTAAACAACAGAAAGCAATGAAAATATTTAAGGAGAGAGATTCAGCTGAGATCCGTCCCACAGCTGGCCTGAGGTTTTGTTGAGATAGTCAGGTCATGTGCACAGGAATAATAAAGTGGTTTCTTCTGGACGCACATAACAGAATTTGGTGAATTCTCTACACAAGGTAAGAAAACTAATTGATGATAAGCTTATTTACAGTTTTATTGCATAATCACCTGTGCAGTCACCTGTCCTCACGTGTGCTCCTATCAAAGAGTGCTGACACGCAGATGAGCTTTGATGTGTTATCAGTTTTGGCTGCTGATGTCCTGAATCCTTCTTGAGTCTTGATCAGATTCCTACCAAATGTTGTAATTGGTATACTTTTTAACCTGTGTACTACTATGTGTTAGAAAATTGTGTCCTTACCTTTACATTTCAGTATGGCTTCAAAAATAGTGAAAAACATTCTGGTGTTTTACCATCTGATTGTGTTGATGATGTGTTGATGTACAGATAACTATATAAATAAAACATTGCAATTAGACTGATGTATGTCTTCTATAGCTTCAGTTTGTACTATATAAGGTCAAAGGTCAGTTTCTACATCATGTATAAGCATCTTCTCGTTGGATAAAACAGCCCTGCCTCCAACATAAAAAGTCACATGCATAATCATTATCTGGAGAACATTATTAAAGTGCTACAGTAAAAATAGAAAGTTTAGTACAAGCCGTCACTCATGTGATGTTGCGTAATATGATCTCTGTTCTCAGGAGTGGTAGGTTAAAGTCTTTTCACCTTTGGTCAAAGCAAAGCCAATGACAGATTTCCTTCACTGATCCGACGATAAATGTTGGTGAACATCTGAGACAGTAAATAACCCTTTAGTAGCCTGTAGGAGGAAAAGTGTATAATGAATCTGTCTCTACCCAATTATAGATGTCTGGTTTAATTGGTTTAGCTACTGTGCTTGCTTGTGAGAACGATAGTAGAAGGTTTTCTCCGGGTTCACACTGAAGTCACAACAGCCTCACACATGGGAAGCATAATCATACACTCTGTTTTAGGATTGTGCTTGTTTTAGCCACTTTTTCTCCTTTTTTACAGATGGACAATCAAAGATGTTTAGAGAGTGAGAATTTCAATCCCAGTCTCATTTATGGTCTGAATGAAGCACAGCTAGATATCCTGGGACAGCGCAGGTGGAAGGTGCATCGGACAATTTGGGGAAAGCTGAAGGAGGAGTGCTGGTGAGTATAGGGGAGGTTAAGAAGCATAATGTGATCATAAAATAAACAGTGTCCATGCTAAATATACACATTGACCCCCCCATATTTCTTTATTTTTTTTGTGCTTCAGGTGTTCAGGTCCAAGGCTGAAGAGCTACTTCCTGTCTATTGCACCTCTCTTGTCATGGCTGCCACAATACTCGCTCAGGAAAAACGCTATTGGAGATCTGATATCAGGAATAAGTGTGGGAATCATGCACCTGCCACAAGGTTTAAGACTTGCACACATTCTCCTGTGTTATCTGAGTTACAAACTGCTATATGACAACTATTATAAAGTATAAAGAATTTATGTTGATGCAGGTGTCAACATCGATCAAAATAGATTTTCTCTGAGTGTTCTCTGAGAGTGAAGACACTTGAAGTGTGATGTGAGGGGTCGGTTATGATTTTCATCATCCTGTTTCTCATCTTAGACACCTACCGAACTGTATTATCAGCTGGCAGGCGATAATTTTCTTCACAATGCGCTGTGATTCAAACCAGACAGATAAAGTGGATGTAATGACTAATTCTATTGTACAGAACTGCACACACTCTTCTACACACAAATGACTAATTTTCTGACTTTTTGTTTTCTATAGGGGTGGCTAATGCTTTGCTGGCTGCAATTCCTCCAGTGTTTGGTCTATATTCGTCCTTCTACCCTATTCTCATTTACTTCATATTTGGAACATCTAGACACATCTCTGTGGGTAAGTACACACACAAACTCTCTCTGCAGGTACATATATATTGCTTACACACATACACGATGCCACTTTGCAAGAAAAAGATATTAAAGGAATAGTTCACCCAAAAAACAAACAAAAAAATTTGTAACAAGCCCATTTGCTGATATTTATTCAATATCAATTTACAGATTTTTGTAAATAATGAAAAAAAAATTCAGATGAACTGTTGTTTGAGTGAACATTAAAATATAAAATAAAATATATAATAACAAAATAAATAAATAAATATAGAATAATCAAATGATAAAATAAAATCAAGTCTAAAATATATAAAACAAAAATATATTAAATTACATCATAAATTAAAATAAAACATTAAAATTAAATGTATATATATATATATAAATAACAATAAATTAATTAAATAATTAAAATAAAATGAAGTATAAAATACATAATAAAATAAACAATAAAAATATATAATACAAAAATAAACAATAAGAAAAGTTAAAGCATATATTAAACATGATTTAATATGTAATAATGGCTTTGTTCTTATTTGATTGGACATTCAGGTCTGATTGGCTGATGATCTGTCTGATCCACAGGTACTTTTTCTGTCCTTTCCATCATGGTCGGTACGGTGACTGGTGATGTTGTGTTGGCAGGCCAGGCAGTGGAGCAGAGAGTGCTGAGATTGTGGCTGAAAGTGTTAAGAGTTGCCTGTGCCTTTGACCATTCTGTGTGGACTGATACAGGTAATTCACGCACAAGCTGTATTAATTCTGTATTGGTGTGTGTGTTTGTGTATAAATCTCTCTCCCTATAGATTCTGCTTTATGTGCTGCGTTGTGGAGGGGTGTGTCGGTGGTTGTCTCAGCCATTGGTCAGTGGATACACTACAGCAGCTGCTGTCCATGTGACTGTTTACCAGCTGCCTTTACTGATGGGCATCTCCATAGTCAGACACAGAGGCATCTTTGCTGTGTTCTGGGTGAGAATGAGCACTGTGTGATTTATATCTGTGTTCATTTCAGATGTTAAATGTACACACAGTATGTGTGTCTACCAGATGTTTTCAAACATTATGACTGGAATCAGGAGAGTGTTACTGGCGACACTGGTAGTGTTCTTTGTCTCCCTGGTGGTACTTGGAGAGATGGTGAATTCACTCTGGAGCACTCGATTTCTAATTCAATGGGAGTTGGTACTGGTGCGCACATGCACAATTTTGTTTTTAGATTTTATTTAAGTTTTCAAATTTCTCCGTCTAGTGTTTAATACATTACATTTAATACAGGCAGGTTTCAAGTTTTTTAATATTATCAAAAACTAGAATTTGTGGGCTTTTATATTTAATTTCAGTTAGTTGAAAATGTAATTTAGTTTGTGTTAGTTTATATTTTGATTAAATTAATGAGAATGTTTATTTATTTATTTTACCTTAACGTTAATAACGCTGACTTTGGTTTCAGTTTTATAAGAGATTTCTGTGCAACAGTTATTCTTTCTTCATTTTCCTAGATTATCTTTGCCACTCTGTCATCAGTGCAGTTTGATCTGTCCGGTCAGTATGGAATACAGATTGTTGGACCCATACCAACCAGAGTGTTGGATTTTCTTTACAAAACCAATTAGCAGGAAGTATTTAGGTGCTAAAACTAATTCTCTCTCTCCTTTTGTCCCCTTTTCTCTCTCTTTGTTTACCTCTAAGTCTCTCACCTCCCTCCCTTCCATCATTTTCTGTCTCTCAGGAGCTATTATTGACAGCTCTTGCGTTGGCAGTGGTGGGCTATGGTTTTCAAGCTTCATTGGGCATGATGTTTGCTCATAAACATGGGTACCCCTTTCACAGTAACCAGGTAACAAGCAATTTATGTAACTTCAAGAACTTTAGTTTTTTCCCTGCAACCTCCCAAAAAGACTAGTATAAATGCCCACTTTGCAGCATTCCCTTCGTCTGAACATAAATGGTCTCTTCCTCCTATAGGAGCTGTTGGCTATGGGTCTGTGCAACTCCATTGGCGGGATGTTCCAGTGCTTTCCAGTAAGCGGATCCATGTCTCGCAGCACAGTGCAGGAGAGTACAGGCGGACAAACTCGGGTGTGAACACCTGCTATTTCTAGTTAATAAAACAACCTCAAGTTACAGTTACATGTACATGCACATAACCTGGGAGGATTGCATTGAATGTTTTCACAGAAAATAGTTATACTGTTATATACCCTACAATACATTTAAAGTGCATATATATACTGAAATTCAAAAAGCCTATGAGATAAAAAAAAAAAAAACCTTTTTGTATTAATTATTTAAAATAAAAAAGCTAAAATATGGTTGAATTGAAACTGAATTGTGCTGTAAGAACATGCAGCATGTGACTATTATTAAGTCACAGATCATTAACATCTTTGTCACTCTTATCAGAAAAGTGATATAAAGCAAACTGATAAAATGTAAACCACATACACGAAAGAAACTGATTTGTCAAAATAATGTATGTTTAGGTGTGGAGCAATGCAGTAAGGGCTTTACTCCATGAACATGACCTCTCTCTTTCTCTCAGGTTTCTTCTCTGGTGTCTGCACTGATAATTCTTTTGATCTTGTTGAAGTTTGGCCCCCTTTTTCAGCAGTTACCAAAGGTCCCAATACCACCTTCAATAACAAAGTATAAATTATATGGATATAGTATAATAAGGTGGTTTTATAAAGTGTATTTGTGTTTCAGACAGTTTTGGCTGTCATTATTTTAGTGAATCTGCAAGGGGTTTTTGCACAAGTCAAAGATGTGCCTAAACTTTGGAATACAGACCGCTTGGACCTGGTAAGGGAAACCAGTCCATTTATCCTTACATATCTGACCCAAGTACAACATGTTCCAAAATCCAGTTCCATGTAGGCCTCTCATCCAGGGTGTTTCCTGTGTGTGTTTCCTACTGAGACTGCAGGTAGTGTGGGTAGTGACACTGCTCAGTGCCCTGGTGTTTAAACTGGACCTGGGGCTTGGCAGTGCAATTGTTTTCTCTCTTTTTACCATCGTGTTCAGGACACAGCAGTGAGTCATCTGTATTGTCTGATATTTATCTACAGTATCTCCCTCTATTTCTCTTATCAGTTTTTCATCTTTCTCATACTAACTCTTATTCTTCCTGTTTCTAAATTTCTCAGGCCCAGATCTTCCGTTCTTGGGCATATTGCTGGCACAGACTGTTACAGGGATCTGGACAAATACTCAAGGGTATTATTTGCACACAATCCAGCTAGAAATCAGCCTAAGCTGTTTTGAAATGTGGTTAATCATCTTAAGCAGTTCCTCAACTTAATCAAAGTGATCTGCCAGCCCTACCAGTTGTTTTTATTTTTCAGTTGAGCAACTACCTAAACCAGCTAATGACCATAAATTACCAACAACATACTACCGATATTTTATAAGTTTGAAATAATTAATCTTTTTTCAGCATTTTTTGTTTTTTTTTTAATGTTTTCAAGTCTCTTATGCTCACCAAGGTTGCATTTATTTGATCAAAAATATAGTTATTGTGAAATATGATTACAATTTAAAATAATTGTTTTCTATTTGAATATATTTTGAAATGTAATTCCTGTGATGGCACAGCTGAATTTATTAATATGAATTATATATAACAATTATATATTTTATAAATAATTGTATTAATTGTATTACTTATTAATATTACATATATATTAGAAGTGTTCCTTCTAGTACATATGTATAATATAAATATAAATCCCTGAATTTTGTGTTGGTTCTGGCACATCAAGTCCCTGGAGTTGACTGTGTTTTCCTGTTGTAATCCACTTTACTACGCTAATGCAGACCAGACCTTCACATCACTCAGACAGGTACAACATCTATCACAGCTCCCTGCTTTCCATTCACTGAGTTCAATTTTATTGTTCTTTTTGTATATGCAGGCTGTTAGTAATGACATTAATGAGAATCCTGAAGTAAGTTCTCCAGACCAGCAGGGGGTTCAGAGTGCGTTATTCTGGAGCTCAGTGGAGTCACCTTCATGGACTCGGTGGCCATGGGCACATTAAAATCAGTTAGTGTCACAGAACACACACATGTACCCACACGTAGAAGTGTTGATATTTTACCAGAGATGAACAGAAATAGGTTACTTGTTACTGGCTCTCATTAACTGCTAACCAATAAATGGCTTTTTAAATTCTGCTTGTCACCATTATCGTGTTTAAATGCAAACATGCATGTCTTACCACTCTCTCTGGGTCACAGGTACTTCAGGAATTTGAGAACACGCAGACCTTGTTTTTCTGTGCTGCATGTCCAGGTTACACGTCTCACACGTACAGCTACAGTCTCAAATGTAGTGTCATGATCTGAGGTGTTTTATATTAATATGTAACATGACGTTTAAAGGGATAGTTCATCCTCAAGAACTGGTATTTTATATATTTAATGAATTCATTTATTTACTGTATCTTTTGTGTGTTTGTCTCTAGATGGTTTCCTATCTCAGATGAAGAATCATGGTTTTGTTCCAGATTTTCTGTCTCTTTCTTCATTTTTCCCTTCAGTGCATCATGCAATCCTGCACTACCAGGGGCTACAGGTGTGTGTGTGTGTGCTTAAATGATGTTATATCTCTGTCTCCTTGTTATTTTTGCTCTTTGTGTTTGTATGCTGTAGTAGTTCACTGTAATTCAGTAGCGTTTTCTGTTCTAATTCAATTACGCATCTATTTACAGAACACAGGCACACATGTTACAGAGCTGTGACCTTTAATGACCTCACTTCCTGAACGATGAACTCGGCAAATACATGAACTTGCAAACATGAAAAAACTAAACCTCACTACTGAGCTTTAGAAGTGACACTTCAAGATAGAACGGAAAAGGAATACAAGAACTTCCAATTTTGATTTAATGATTTGGATCAACTTTGTGCATTCATCTGGATTTAAGGTGATGTGTGGCAACAGTTGTTTGTTTATCAGCTATTGAATATTAAAATAAAACTTGACAATGACTTATGTCGGTTTGTACCTTTGTATTTTTTGTTTTTTATTTACGTGCTTGTTGATTTGTTCTGTTTTTAAATCAAAATTTTCGTCATTATTCTACTTTTAGATTAGATGACTGTTTAAAATAGTTAAAATTGCTCAAAAAAGAGTCTTCAAAACATGTCATGCAGGTCTGTGCATATGTAATCTTCTAGATTAACATATATTTCATGTTACAGATACATTTGGTTTGGTGATGTTGTAAAATAAATAAAATATGTAGTAAAATAAATAATCTATGTACACAATTACAACATATAGATACATGAATAGCATGGAAAATAATTATTAACACTCCAGTCAACACAAACAATATAAAATCCAACAGAATCACAAAAGGCCGACTGACAACAGCCAAACTGCTCCAGCTCAGTACAGTTCAGTTCAGTTAGTATGTGTGAAGTTCACACATGCATTGCTGAAATGTTCTTGTACCCCCAGTGAATTGGACCATAAATGTCATTAGAAGAGACTTTGTTCTCTAGGCAGGTGTTGGGGAGGGGCCACATTAATATTTAATAAGCTCATCTCTCTCACATGCATATACAATAAGCTTCTATTGTATAAAACTGATCATAATGACAGACTAACCCTAACTCTACAGAAACAGAACACTTTTTTTGGTATTTTCGGGTCAAATGAAATGGAACTCCAATAGAGGATGTTCCCAAATTCCGCTAAAGGAATGTTTTGTCAGTATTACCTCATTTTTAGACAGTGTTTGTCCCCAAACTATAGTTAATGTATGTATATCTAGTTAAAAATACAAAGTCATAATTACATGACATAATTAAAATTTTATATATGGTCTGTATATTCTCAGATAAAGATGGCTCTACTTCACTGGATCAAAGCAAACACCTCAGAGATCTTGTAGCAGAGATGTGATTTCAAAGATCACAATTCACTCATACAAAAGCACATGGTTTTGCAGAATGAACATGTTTTCTATCTAATCAGGCCGAGATAAGGTGGCGTAGGTCTCTAGTGTGAAAGTTTCCAACATTGACTCTGAAGAACCCCCCCTCCTCTCTTTTTGGGACTTTGCTCCCCATATGAACATTAGAATTCTATCAGTGAGTGTGTGAATGGATCATACGGGTATCAGAAAGGGCAGGATACACATTAACACAAACTGTGATTGAAGAAAAGGGCCAGGGACATTAATTAATCCATTGCTGTCCAGAGCTTCACTGCACAAGCAGCAGACCTGTGGAGCTGTCACTTCGAATAACTGGAGAACATCCTTCAGAATTGTTCTGGGCCTGTTTGCGTGGACATTAAGGATTGCATTTTCATTGTGAGGATAAACATTTTGGGATCTATGCACTGGAATTATTTAAGAAAATTTCAGAATCACATTTAAGATAGAGAGGATTCAAAATGGAGGAGGAGATGAATGTCAAAGATCTCAGGAAAAGGGTACCATATCAAATTCAGAGAGATGTACTGGATGAGCTCAGTGTCGACCAAGTTGCTGAGAAATCGGATTTCAAAATTTCAACAAAAGAAAAACTCAGAGATGCTGTCAGGTGTGTCAATATGGCCTTTCTTTGATTTGAATATTTTACTGCTTGAGAACTGAACTAGGTTGCACATTTAATTGAAAATGCTCCTATTTTGCATTTTTCTAATTCAATTAATTAATTAATTTACAATTTGTATCAGCATCATAATTTAAGAGAAAAGTTTAATTGAAAAAAAAAATCTCAGTATTTGGTTTGTACTCATTTTGGAAGCAGTACTAGTTATAGCTAAAAAATAAAAATTGTGTACTGTGAAACAAATTTCACTTGTTTTTGGCTAGTACATTTTTTACAAGTTATTACAAAGAAATGGCAAATAACTGAATTAAATGACATTTTAAGTACAAAGACTGAAATAGAATTTTCTTGTAAAACATACCCCAATAATCTTGAACTTAACATGTTCTCCACAATTTTGTGTCAAACCTCATGATCATGTTGTCCAGCATTTAATTGAGAATGATCCAAATAGCATCTTGTGCTTTAATGGATGCAACAATATCTCTCACGCTTTAAAAAAAAAAACATATTGTTCATTATAATGTGGAAGGCAGCTATTTTGTTCCTCTCTGTGTTTCATAATTTTCTCTTTTGCTTTGTTCATCAGGTGTACAGGCCCAAGATTTAAGAGCTGTTTCCTATCATTTGTTCCTCTCCTGGCATGGCTGCCACGATACCCGTTTCGAGAAAATGCTATTGGAGATCTAATATCAGGAATCAGTGTGGGAATCATGCACCTGCCACAAGGTCCAACACAAACACATGCACACCTGCATTTCCAAAGCACACACATTACTTAAGACAGACCTAAACAAAAACACATGTGTTTTGTGGGTGCAGGTATGGCGTATGCTTTGCTGGCTGCGGTCCCTCCTGTTTTTGGTCTGTATTCCTCCTTCTACCCCATTCTCATCTACTTCATATTTGGAACATCCAAACATATCTCTGTGGGTAAGTACACACACCTCCCTTTGATTTCTGTTGTTCCTAAAGGTATCGTTCACACAAAAATGAAAATTCTGTCATCATTTATTCTCCCTCATTTCATTCCAAATCTGTTTCCATGGAACACACACACACAAACAGTGTTGGGGAGTAACTAGTTACATGTAACGGAATTACGTAATTTAATTACAAAATAAAAGTAATTGTAATCAGTTACATTACTTTAATAAAGTAATTGAAAAGTTACACTACTTATTACATTTTAAGTAGGGTAACTTGTAATCTGTAACCTATTACATTTCCAAAGTAACCTTCCCAACACTGCACACAAATCACATCAATCTTTTCTATACAACAACAGTTCATGCTCCAAAAAGCATCATAAAAATAGTCTCATGACTCTTGTGCTGTATTCCAAGTCTTCTGAAGTCATTCAATAGCTTTGTGTAATTCACTGATGATCTTCACATCTTAACGGGTTACTTTCTAATCTCTCTGTCAACAGGTACATACGCAGTTATGAGCGTTATGATTGGCAGCGTGACAGAGCGTTTGGCTCCAGACTCAGACTTCATGATACCAGGCAATGACACCAACAGCACCACCTTGGACATTGTCGGCCGTGATGCGGAGAGGGTCAAGATCGCGGCCACTGTGACTTTCTTATCTGGCATTTTCCAGGTAGGTTAATTTGTAAGTGTATGTGGCTTTGACGTTGTGTATGTGACTAAGTGTTTGTGTGGTGTCTGTGTGTGTAGTTACTCCTCGGTGTGGTTCGGTTCGGTTTTGTGGTGACGTATCTCTCAGAGCCATTGGTGAGAGCTTATACAACAGCGGCCGCCATTCACGTTATTGTCTCCCAGCTCAAATATTCCTTTGGCATCAATCCACAGCGGTACAGTGGACCTTTGTCTCTTATATATGTGAGTATGAACACAAACACACACATAGTCCCAAACACTTAATTAAGGACTATCCTGAAGCGGTATGTAAAAGGCCACAGATAAGGACGGATAATCATACCTATGTGTAATTTGTGTTTAATGCCCCCTAGTGGTTGGGGTTATTACTTGCACTCAGCAAAGTTACATTTAATGTTTTCTCAAATTTTTTTTCTTTCTCTCTCCAGACAGTCATAGAGATTTGTGCATTGCTCGGAAAGACTAATATTGGTACTCTGGTAGTTAGCATTGTAACCATCTTAGGTCTGGTCGCTGCAAAGGAACTTAGTGCCTTGGCAGCACGCAAAATCCCTGTTCCGATTCCTGTTGAGCTGATCACTGTAAGTTACTTTTACAGTTACAGTTAAACACACACATACACATACATGTTTACTTAACTAACTGTGGGCATACATAGACTTATTTATATTCTTTTTTTACAATAAAATGTAATTATAGTTTTTTACTCTATCAAAAATGTCATCAGTTTTGCATGCTCTTTCTGTTTAGAGGTAATGTAACATATTGCTTCTTAAAGCTTTCATCTTGTTTGTGTGTATAGATTATCGTCGCTACTGTGGTGTCATGGCAGATGGATTTGAAGACTGAATATGGTGTTGAAGTGGTTGGAGAAATTCCATCAGGGTGAGTCCAACACACAACTATGCATCATAGTATGTGTATAACATGGTAATGGTTACAGCTACAAAACACAACCGCAGCATCATAGTACATCTTCAGGCTCAAATACTCATCTGCGTGTCTCTTCTTCACATCTTAGTCTGCAGGCTCCTGTGGCGCCCGCTGTCTCACTGTTGGGTTCAATGGTCGGTGATGCTTTTGCACTGGCTGTTGTTGGTTATGGTATTGCTATCTCACTGGGTAGAATTTTCGCCCTCAAATATGCCTACAAAGTCGACAGTAACCAGGTAAGTGACTGTAAAAGATTATTTTTATTTAATGTGTATATATATTTATATACACACAAATATATATGCACACATTAAATTGATCAACAGTGACAGTAAGGACTTTTACATTATTACATTGTTACATTACATTGTTACAATAATATATTTCAAATTAATGGCATTCTTTATACAGTATTCATCAAAGAATCTTGAAAAAAATATTAAGCAGCACAAATGTGGCCCTAAGCAAGCGGTCCCTGGGGGGCCTCCTCGGTAGAAATCACATGATTTGCTTGGTTTGTGTGGTGTCTAAACACACTACTGGTTCCATGTTAGAATGATTTCTGAAGGATCATGCAACACAGAAGACTGGAGTAATGGCTAATATATAATATATTTTTAACTTTTAAAGTCAAATTTAGTGTCAACATAAGACTAACAGCATAGTAAAACTGCAAGAATGGAAAATATGGTTTTAAGTTCAGAATATTTTCTTGGAATTTTAGTTCTTACATTTAAATCCAGTTGCCAGTTAAACTCAATTTCCCCACCGAGGCACATCTGAAAAGCTTTTTTTGGTCTTTTGCT